CCTAACCCTAACCCTAACCCTAACTCTAACCCTAACCCTAACCCTAATCCTAACCATCCCTAACCCTAACCCTAACCCTAAACCCTAACCCTTGTTTTACTTGAGATAACACTGAAAATTAAAAGCTGCCGGGCATTTAGGAAATCGAAGACCGTGGCCGGCAGCCGTCAGATATATGCGCGCTGACGGGCATATAGCCACTGTTCCTGTTCTACTAGGTACTTCTACAGACTGACTGGCCTGGTTGCCTGGAGGTGCGTGCGGACACAGCAAACTGCGTGCTTCTTCCCCTGTACATGGGGTCATTGCTGCAGACTTGACAGCCTTGCAAGGGATCTCTTCGCCTGCTACTGTGCCTTGTTTTCTCAGACGTGAGATCGGCACCACCACAGGTAAAAGACTGGGCGGCGCAGTCTTTGACAGACTAGTTTTGCGTTAGCTAAGCGACCTATCTTTGATTCTGGCAGCGGTTGTATCTCAGATCGTTGGCATGCTCTTGCTTTGCACCAGGTGGCGACTTATGAAGTGCTCTTGTGAAGAGGACAGAGAAGGTTAGAAGAAATTCAACTGCCGCTCGAACGGTTGTCCGCGTCGATCGCCTCCATCCTACCTGTTGCATTCCTATTGCGTGCCAGCTGAGTCGAAAGTGCTCTTCAACGTTGTTTTCCTTGAGCACTGGTCCCGAGTCTCTCGGAGGCTGCGTCAGTCTCGGCGGTGCCTCTTACGGCATGGTAATCTTTGACGAGCAGATTTCTCGTGTTTTACAAGCGATTTATGATTGGCTTTAACTGCTCTCTCTTCGGCGATTTCCCGGCATAGCCAAAATCTGCTGAGAGAATAAATGTGAATGAGCATCACCAGAGTTGCTGTTACACAGGTTTTCAGTCGAAAAAATATCAGTTCTACGTCATTTCTGCTGCGTTAAGTGCTGGCAAGCATTGCCCTGTACGAAATACACAGGCTGCGTTTTCCAGTAGCTGAAAGGGGTGCAGCACTTTTTCTCTGATAAGAAATGCAGCTTACTGCTATTGCCTGTTTACTATGATATGTTACTACGAGCTGGCCACCTGCTGATGGAGACAGACTGACGCCACGTTCTTTTTTTAGTATGAGCAATTAACTATTGAAAATATACGAAAAACATGGGTTTGGGGAATTTATTCTTAAAATCAGAGGTCAAAAGGTCAAACTTAAAACTGTTAAATTCTAATTGAGAGGTGTCCACTACACCGTTGTGATAAAAACTGTAGTTGATATCGTCTTCTTTTTTGTTGCATTGCAGTTCGAAAGTCGACGAAATTCGAGTTTTAGCGGCCGGCGACCGAACCAGAGAGGGGACCTCGTGCCACGGATTCATTCATAAATGGTAACTGGCATGCACGAAAACTTTTTTTTACCGTGACCTCACAACGTGTTGACGGTTAGCAGTATATGGAAGCAAAAGATTTTTAGCGAAAAAAAATCAACTGCTTCAAGGTATGACGATAGCAAAATCCACCAATCAAGCATTGGGACAGGTTCAGAATCAGATCGTATATGAGTGTCTGCATGCGCTTGAATTTTGTATTTCTCATTAGAAAAGGTTAGAACTTTTGCAATTATTAATTTCAGAAACTAGAATCTTTTCTGAATCCGACAGTTGTAACAGCTGTCCGAGGTGCGTTGCTGCGGCCGGGGAATTTTCAAAAAAGCCTACTTTTTTGTCAGATTCACATTGTAAATTGGCCATTTCGAATGTGTGGCTGGGAAAATGATGTTTACACGAAAAATTATGCAAGAATTTTTGGCTTAATAACATATATAAGTGTCACTTTGCGACTTGGATTTAGAGGATGGCATTAATTATTAGTAAAAAAAACACTGCTGATAGTAATTGAGATGCCGCCTATGGAAAATGATTACCCAATGGTGGTACCACAACACACGCTTTTAACATAATCACATGCAACCGCCACCTACCGAACAAAAATAAACTAATACAGATCTTCGACAATCTTGTCACTGTTTTAAATTTGTTCCTACATTGAATGAGTAAAGTATCAGGAGTGAATACAACTAATTGTTTTTATTGTCTACTGATAGCTCTACTGATGTGCACACATGTATATGTTTTATAGTTTAAAAATACAAGTAATCTAGTAATGCCAAGTATGGATGTAGAATAGGAAGAGGGAAAAAGGGGCATATGGAAACGGTAAACCTGCATAAGAAGAGAGAAGCTAAGAAGATTATATGTGTTAAAAACACATAAAGTATGTACATAACGCATGGCTACCGAACTGGTTATCAGTAAAGAAATTCCTCCATTGACCCCCGACATTTCCATAACTCTCAGCTAATGATAATGTACATGTATGTGCAATCGCGCGGACCTATTACGCGGGAGGCACTCCATATATATTGCATGGTAGGTATATGTGCTGCGGTAGAGACCTTCTTTTCCACCCTAAACTTCCGTTCCAGAGACCCACATTTTCAGGTCTGAGTTAGTTCCAAGGCCCCTCGTTTTTGACTTCGCAGTGGCACATACCTACCATAATGTGGTATGAGTGCCCCTTCCCCCCCCCCGGAGAGGGGGGTTGCTTATTGCCTTAGCCACGATATTACACATTCTAGCAATAATAATGGATGGAATACGGGTTGGCAATAAAATAAAGATTTCTATGCATTTTTTTACATTCAGGAATAAAAATAATACAGAAGTATACAATTTGCTATCACATGTAAACAAGAGCTAATAATAATACATAATAATGAAACTCACAGAACGAGTTTAATTATCAATAGTGGTGTACGTGCGTGCGGTGAAATTTTATGTTGCAGAGGAGCGTATAAACTGCATTTACGGGACACTGTAAATCTGTAACCAATAAATAAGCGAAGGCGAATTGATAAACAATTATAAGCTTTTGGTATTAAATACATTTCGTGTTTATCATTATTTTTTAAACATACAGATGTACTTGTGAAAAGTACTCTTTTTAAGATACAAATGTACTTGAGTATTGCAGAGAAGCATTTGAACGGCATTTACAGGACATTATCAGTAATAATAGGCGTAAGAGAGTCGATAAACATCAAGACATTGGTTAGTAGTAATACGATCGTCTTTATTTACCACAATTTTTATTGAATCGTTTCAACTGCATGTGGACTCTGTCTCTCACTGTGTTTGCACGTACATTTCAGCATTATACAGCATCTCATATTTATAGCATATATATATATAGTACGGGCGTGAATCGAACACGTACGGTTTTCTGTTTCGTTTTTGTCAAAAATGTAAATTAAAGTTAGAATCATTGTTTAGATTTCTTTCGAAATCATTGCTCTGAATCACACAATCTGATAAAAAATATAGTGAAATGTATCTCTGCGACAAGTTATTGTTACTCTCGACAGTTGCAATAAACAAGGAACTACTAACTTCAATATCGAAAAGTGTCGTAATAGTGGCAAAAACACGAGACCGGTTGTAAATTGTGTTCGAAATATATATCCTTAAAAATTATTACGTCACCGTAAATAATAAAACAACAAAAAATAATACCACTTTTTCACAAAATGTAAGTAATTCTGTTTACTTTTTATGGTTAAATTGCTGCATTATATTTCCTATTTTCCTATATTGTGTGATGTAAACATACACTCGTGACTCATACATAGCCCATAGCAAGCAATTAATGTCCGGATAATAATATCAAATCGTCCAAGTTTTTTGGATTTTTTAACTAGTTGAGAAACAATCTTATCAGGTAAGAATTTGACGATACATTTAGTCCCGTTAGTACTTACTAATGGAAAAAAATGGCAACTAAATTTTTACAAATATTACCATAGAACATTCGTGACGTAGTCAATTTAAACTGGAGTACGTCGTGGCTGTCGTTGCTTGCTGTTGTCTATATCCTTCGTTAATTTAGGAAATTCCCCCAACAGAGGGCGCAGCAGCACCTAGCCACTACTTGCTCTCACTGAGCTCTATTAATAGACATTTAATAGTTCATTAATGGTTATTAATGGTAATAATAATGGTAATAATTAATAGAGCTCAGTGCTTGCTCTAGTTGGTACACTACAAATCCTTGCATTTATAATATTACTTTGATCTCTTTCCCGTGAATGATTCATTGAGAACTGTTGTCTTACAGACATCTAGTCTCAAAAATAACAAACGATAAAATTCGTCTACATACTATTCTAGCTGGTTTGCTAAACTTCATCATAGACGTAAAATCGTTGTCTCTCCTCTACCCCACCCTCTCTTCTCTCTCTCTCTCTTTCTCCGTCTCTGTCTCTCTGTCTCTCTTCTGTCTCT